CTCCCGGGCGCCCACTCGTTGCAGCCGCACGAGATGATGGGTCTGAGCCACCACCACAATCAGCTGGGGGGAAACGGAGGCATCTTGGCCTACAAGCCTTCGCCGGCGCCGTCCCCGTCCGGGGCTTCGGGGGGCATGAGCGATCCTGTCTTCCAGTTCGGCATGACGGACGCGGAGGGTATATCAGAAATGTGGCTCACGGAGGAAAGTTAGCCGGTGATTGGAGGAGAGAGGCATTTGGATCGCCTTGGGCTCGGGAGTGGCCGACGAAAGAAGTGCTGAATGGGAGGGAAACGGTGCCGAGTGGGACTGAGAGGAGCCCTTGTATCCAAGTGCGGAGGGATGAGGGAGAAGGGTGTGCGGAGGGACTGGGAAACCGACTGTGGGTGGCGCCAGGACGCGGTGCCGAGTGGCGGATGAGGGGCGTCGAAGCGACGAAGATGGAGAAATGCGCGGGAGCAAGCGCTTCAGGTACCCAGAGCAGCCAAGGCGAGAGACTGACATGCGCACGTGCTCGCACGGCTGACACTAGTCGTGGTGTGAGGGAGGAGCTTGGTCGGTAGGGGCGAGAGAGAAAGGGTGCGGTCGGGGTGGGGGGTCGACGAGGCCGGAGAGGGAGGAGGAGGAGGAAGAGACAGAAGATTTGTCGGCTTCGAGGACAAGATTTCCGAGACAGGAGATATGACTGCGAGAAGAGAGAGAGAAGGGAGAAATTTGCGAATTTGACGAAGAAAGCGAACGAGAAGACGAAGAGAAAGTAGACAGGAGGGAAGAGTGTCAGAGGGGAAAACCAAGGGTGGGAATGACACATGAACAAGCACCCTCTCCTTCGTTGTCAGCTCCAGTCAGAGGCAACGGAGAAAGAAGTGGTGCAGAGCAAGGAGGATAGCAGAGCGCTCGAGGCGATGAGTGATTGATGAGACAACGTGTGGCACATACCTTTGCCCGAGGCCCTCCGCGGAGGATGCCAGTAAAAACTCACGCCAGGTGGTGTCAAACTGTGTACATATATCATGAGACGGGATGGGAGGGAGCACTGTAACACGAGACAGGAGAGAGGAGGCCGAGCTAGGGGATGGGGAAGGGAGTTGAGATGGCAGATATGTCTTGCTTTCTGGACGGAGATAGACTTGAGTTCCCCCCCCACCTGCGCCAAAATCAGCGTCAAACGTTAAAGGAAGCGACCCCCGAAAAAGAAGAAATAGCACAGAGCATAAACGTCTCGCGGCGTCCCGCCAGGTGCGAGTCCAATGGGGCCTCCTACGCCGGCATTCCATCTCGTGCTTTTTCATTTACAAGTCCGATCGCCCATTACACGTCCCGAGATCCGTCGCTCAGGACATCTCTTCCCCCTGCCGTGGACAGCCCCTCTTGGAGCACAGGGACACGGCCTCCCTGCCCCTCCCCTGAGTCTTGCGAGGACCTGCCTCGCGTCGAGACAGCGGTCATGTAGGAGCCGCGGAACAGGAATGGGGAGGCGTCTGCCGGAAGGGTCTCTGCAAGGACCGCGTAAATAGAGCCCCCGACCCATGCCAAGACGTTGCGCGGAGCCAAGAGAGCGGCTCCGGCGACGAGGCAGATGGCACTGGGACTGGGAGGAGATGCCCGAGAAGACGTTGGGGGTGGGGGAATGGACGGCGCATGCGCGGAGGGCGCGAGGGCTTCGTGGGCTCGAGAGGTGCCCTGGTGTCCAAGCAAGAGCGGACAAAGCTCTTGATAGCGGACGCGCACCCTGGCCCTTTGCTGCACCTCTTCCGCCAGACGAGGACAGAAGCCGGGCAGCATCGCCACGCCCCCCGACACCAGCACATGACTGGCCAGCAGGCGTCGCACGTCTCTGGGGCATCTCCGTAGACACTCCAGCACCGCGATAGGGAGGGATTCCCCGTCATCGACGGATTCCGCGAAGAGACCTTCGGCCACCGTAGTTCGTAGCTCGGGGGTAAGGGTCAGCTTAAACCCCTTCTCTTCGTACGCGATGGGCTCGGCATCCACTTGAAAATCCTCCTTACCCACAACGAAGCATGCTCGCATTACGATGTCTTGCAGGAGTTCTAGAGGGAGACGGTCGCCTCTTTGGCCGGAGAGGCATCCCCCTTCCTTCTTCGCCGTGGCAGCCGACTCAAGAAGCTCCCGCGCTCGATCCAAGAGTGTCAGTGCCCCCATACCTACCACTGCGTACGTGTGAAGGAGGGGCCGCCCGAAGACAACCGCCAAGACGTGGGATTCGCGAAAGCCTACGTCCACCACCAAGCCTGTCTCCGCACCGGCAGTGTACAACGGCATTTCCAACGAGGGAGCCATCACGATCGCCGGCACCCGGAGCCACTGGAATAAGACGTAAGCCAAAGCTTCTCGAAACGTTGTCGATCCCGCAAGTGGCTCGCAAATGAGCACTTTATTTTCGGAGGGGCGAACATGCAAACAATGCACCAGCAGTCTCACCAGCAAAGGGCCCAAGGACTGCGTCCATTCCTCACTTCCCCATCCCCGGGAGGCAGCTTGCCTGCTCCAATCATCCAAGGGGGATGGCAGCAGGTGTCGGGGTGAGCTTTCTCCTGCGAATCCACATTTTATGATAGCACTGTCGGGTGGCGTACAACGTGGTGAGTGCGGAGGCAAAGACCTAGTGTGGACTGACCGATCGCGGATAAGTGCAACAGCGATGCGAACATTTCCTGGCGTACCTGCCCAGGTCGAGAACCACGGTGTCCTTGACCATGGCGCCCTATCTGCTCCTGGGCACCTTCTTTATAGGCAATGCTACCAAAAGGTATGCGGCAAGCCTGTTGACAAAGGAATGGTTGCGGAAGATGGGTGTGAAAAAAATACGTGCTCCTGTGGGGATGCTGATACCATTATAATGCCAAAAAGCAGCAAGTCAAGATGGACGCACGCACTACTTTCGAGCGTTCACACGGGTTTTTGTACTTTGCTAAGGACGTTCCCAGACGACTTTCACATGACAGAGAAGGAAAAGGTTGATTTCTTTCTTCGGGTGCGGGTTCCTGATGCAAATGTGCGTGGTGACATCGGATGGGTTTTTCTGATCAAATACCTCGTGGAAACCACAAAAATCACGCGACACACTGAAGTTTTCCTCATTGTGCTCTTCACAGTGGACAGTAAATTTTACGCGAGATGCGAATGAGAAAACCACTGTTGACGATTCTTCCGGACTCACGTTGTAATTTTCCGTTGACGATCATAACACTACACTCCTTAAGTACGTTGATTGCGACAATAGCGTTGTGGCTTGACGTTGTCGACCTGGAGGAGGTACTAATCGTAATGTCACCTACTCACTTGCAACAGCACCATACCTTACTCGTCATGAAAGGTGGCATGGATCCAGAGAAAGGCTTTGTCGGACCATTCCGTGCTTTCGATGCTGCTCAAGCGACGGCCTACCTGACTTTGTATGAAGAAGCCTTCGGTCCGGCGTCTGATGTATCCAATCTTACCGACAAGCGCTTTCAGTCGCACCTGTATTTGCCTTTTGTCGTAGCCATCATGTCCACAGAGGCCATCCTGAAGCAAGTGCGGGCCGTCCTGGGGCCTGACCTCCTTGTTTGGTTTACTGAGTGGCATGTCAAGCGACCGGCGTCTTCGAGTAAATATACCCCGCATCAAGACAGCACGTACGCCGGTCTAGTACCGGCAGAAGACGTTGTCACGGTCTGGGTGGCCCTGACTGAGGCGACCAGGACGAACGGGTGTCTTGAATTTGTGCCCATGACCGAGTATCACGGGGAGCAACTTCCCCACGTGGAGGAACCCGGCGACTCCACCAATCTGCTGCTTCGAGGCCAGCGCATTGCCTCCGAACATCTTGACTTTACCGCCAAGGCCGTGCCCGTAGAGCTTTGTCCGGGAGAGGCGACCATTCACGCCTTTCGTTGTGTTCATGCGTCGGGTCCCAACCGCTCGGACGCGTCGCCGCGGGTGGGCCTCGCGATCCGCTACATGAAGCCCAGTGTCAGACAGATGCAGGGAGGACGGCGGGAGGGGGCTATGCTGGTGAGCGGGCAAGACGACTTCGGGCATTTTGACCTCCAGCCACTGCCCTCCGAGGCCTGGGACAGGGGAGGATTGGCCTTGCATGCCCGGGAGATGGAAGCCATGCGTGTGAATTACATGGAGAGTCGGCGAAAAGAAACAGGATGACTGGCGACTTTCAAATGGGCAGGGGGCTGCATGTTGTGCGTGTGGATGTTCATTCATTAGACGTATTTTAGACTGTTGCCTGACATTTCATCATGTCGGTGCGCTCCGACCCTTTGGCCGCTTAATGAAGCACGCTCGGCAGGGCTTGATCCACGCCTACGACCAGCTTTCTTATATTCCACACTTGGCAGTGAGCCTCTACTTTCAACTCACAAAGGTCGCTTTAGATTTATGATGCCTCGCTTAGATTCTATTTGACAGCCTTCAGTATGCAGTATCCTCTGCTTTTCCTCCCCCTGCGCTTCAAGCGTTCCATTACCACCGTGTCCATCGCCGCCCACACCGGGACCGACACTCGAATCTACACCCATCGCCGCCGGTGGAGTCCTGCCCTGGCCGCCCTGTCCAAGAAAGCATGCAGCTCCCTCTCGCCCTCCCTCTCCCCGGCCGGGTCTCCCTCCACTATGCGTCGGGCAAGATCCGGCGGCAGGATCTGGGATAGCTCACGCAAGGATTCTCTCTTGTTCAAGACTTTCAGACGGTCCTTGAGCTCCTGCGACATCATGCAAGAGATGAGGTGGAAAACCTTGTGGAAGAAGAAGGGGGCGTTGATGATGTAAAGGGACTTGACCAGGTCTGAGTAGTTCTCGTCGTGCACGTCGCCCAGAGAGCGCATGAATTGAAGCGCGTGTCTCCCGAAATGCTGTGGGCCAAAATGCTTGACATCCACCACGCTCACGTACTGACTAATGAGGCGTCCGCTGCGCCGAGACAGGTGTGGGAAGAGGAGGCTGGGGTAGGAAGAGGGGAACGAGAGAGCGGGTGAGCATCGTCGACAGGAATAGCCAGGACGGTCACTTTCCTCCAGCCTCCATTCACACGCCCAGACACGCACTTGACATGGTTGCCTCTGCTCCAACCTCCACCCCCTCTCCCCTACCGTCGGCGGCCCTCCATGGTCTGGATGTAGTACGTGATCATGTCCGTCAAGCCCAGGGCCTCGGGGCCGGTCCGCAAGCGCGCCAACTCCAGAAGGCCCATCCGGTCCACAAAGATCGGATCGCCCGCATGGTCTTGACTGAAATAGAAGGCGGTCGGCCAGCAGGCTCGGTGCTTCTCCACCTTGCGTCGCGCCAGTCGCTCTCCCTCAAACACTTCCTCGATGTCTTGCGCCATCCGCCACCGGATGACCCTGTCGAAGGATCGCAGGGCCGTGTCCGCGTCGAAATCCTTCCGAGCCAGGAAAGAAAGGATCATCGCGTCCCGGTCTCCGCAAACCACCAATTGGTCCACCGCGGCCACTCGGCGCGGATCCACGTCGGGACCGTACAGAGCAATGCGGACTCGTTCCAAGGCCGCCCTCTTCTCCACGGACAAGCCTCCCACTCGTTGGGCCGTTTCTGCCCTCAAACGCGCAGCCAGCTCCGTTTCTCCCTCCTCCTCTTCTAGCCCGTCGTCCAGGATCCCGAGTCGAGGGCCCTGCGAGACCTCGAGGTGCCCCTCCGCCTCCACCCTCCCGTCCGACGCCCCAGCCTCAATCACCACGGCCTCATAATGCCAGGTCGAGCGCGTCACCGAGAGGGCCCCCTCGCCTTCCTCGATCCTCTCCTCCCAAGCATCGATCTCCACCTCCCCTGCGGAGTGGATGCCGCGGGTTGTCGTGGTAGACGGCGAGTGAACACTGCTCGCGGCCCGCTCTCCCCCAGTCGCACAGACGGTGTCGCTGCCTCCGCGACGTAAGGGCAATCCGCCCCCAATCACGCTCAATGCCGAGGAAAGGGACCGACCGCAAGGAATCGACAACTCGTCGTCCTCCCTTCTCTTACGGAGGATCGGCGCTCGCTTGGCGCTGGGCTTCGAAACGGGTCGCAGGCGAGGCGGGGAAGGGGGCTCCGCGTCCTCTCTCAATTTCTCCTCCTCCCGTTCGTCGGCTTCTTCCCCCTCCACGATGGACTTCACTCCAGCAAGTGTCGTTGTCATATTTTTCTTCACGTCTCTGTCCTCGTGACTGTGGATCTCCGAGCTGCTGACTTCCAAGATGCTGGCCTCCGTGCGGCTGACGACGCCTGCGGGCGTTGCGGTGTCTACTTCCTCTTCAAGCAGAGACGTGGTCGTGGCCTTTTCAAGACCTTCGTCTGCATCCTCTCGCGATAAGGCTGTTGCAGCATGAGCATCGATCCCCCTTTTTTCCGCCTCTACGCCCTCCCGGTCCTTCTCCCGCGGCACACACATCAACTCCGGTGGAATGAACCATGGCGTCCTGCTTTTGGCTTGCGAAGATTTTCTTCGCCACTTAAAGGATGACCATTCAGACGAGAACAGAGCCGATGCCTTCCGTTGGCCCTTTCCTCCAGAGGCCGCGGCGGCAGCGACCAGGCTTGACATGACTCCGCTTCCCGTCAGGGTGGGCATCGTGGGGGGGCCATCGGATGCCGCCAGCAACATACCGTCGCTTGCAACCACTGAGGCCCCCACAAGGACCCAGGCAATGCATCGGAGCTGCATGACCCCCAATTGGCTGATGACCCGGACACTCTCGGGAAGTTAAGGGACCTGGTGCTTTGAGGAGGGGAGTTGAAGCGTCCTTTGGCCAGGCTCTGTCCGTGCTCAAATACCAGCCTAAAATCGGACCAGCACGCCCTCCAAGCGACCCCCAAGCCTGCACCTATAGAGTATTGATGTATTTAATACGTATGATCATATTCGATGGGCGTAAAACGCGATGATTTCCATACAAGAAATGCGAGATAAAAGTTGACACTCCGCCCATCTCGATCCTTTCCCCCTGCGAGCAATTCCTGCCCCTCGCCGCCCCTTTTACTGGCAGGCGCGAGACCAAGATATTGATGTGGCTCCATCAAACTAACACCTGCCGCATGCCGTATTGGCTTTAAAATATTATTATGATCTAACTTACGTCACGCATCTGTGTTTCATCTCCGTTTCTGGCGCGCAGGCTTAGGGGCGCTCCTGTTTAGCCTCCCCTGACCTCCATGGCCCGAGCAGGTCGTCCTCAAAGCCATGGCCAAACCGACGAGATGAACAAATTACGGCGGCCTGTGCAGCAGCAGAGAGGGAAACGAAAGCAGCAGCAGCAGCGGCAGCAGCAGCACCAGCAGCACCAGCAGCTGAAACTGCATGAAAAGGGGATACCCAGCAAACCACCCCCCGCCACCTCCCCTCAAGCAGGAACACTCGGAGCAGAGCTGCTTTTAGCTATCCGAGATAGAAAGGCAGAAAATTGGTGGCAGATGGAGGCTATATTATGCGATCAAAGCAAAAAAGACACGAAGAAGCAAAGTCAAAGTAAAAAGGGAGGGAAAAAGGCCTTGGCGGAGGCGAAAGGTGCCCTCACGCCTCTTACCCTGGGGGTGAATACAATAAAGGTGCACATTCAGGAAGGCGAGGCGGTGCTGACCGCTGCTCAAACTTTGTATGAGGTAAGACGGTCACGAAAATTGGACCAAGATCAGAAGTGGACGGAGAAAATATTGCGGCAGGGGACCCTCTCCGACAAGGTCGCGGCCTTGACCTTGCTAGTGCAGGAAGCGCCCCTCTTTCGGCTCCGCACCCTGGACGCGTTGTTGGCCTTGGCACAAAAGGCTGACCGGCGCTGTGCACAGATGGCCATAGAGGCGCTGCAGGACCTGTTGGAGCACAACCTGTTGCCGCCGGAGCGGAAACTGGTGCCATGGGCCCGCCAGGATGAGGCCTCCCTCCCGCCGGCCGCTGCGGGCGACTCGGAGCAGCAAGCCCGCCGCGAGGCTTGCTTGGCCCTCCGCTTTTTCGAGGACCAATTGAAACAGCGCGTGGCCGTCCTAATCGATCGGCTGGAGAAGGCGACGCACGACACTGTGACCAGCTTCAAACGCTTCGCCTTGACGGGAGTGGCGGGGCTCCTGCAGGGGCGGCCCGAGCAGGAGGAACGCCTTTTAAGCATCCTTGTGAACAAGCTGGGTGACGCGGAAAAAAAAGTGGCGCCGCACGCCGCCTATCTCCTCCGCCGGCTGTTGGCCGCGCACCCGGCGATGAAGGGAGTGGTGGCCCGAGAGGTGCAGCAGTTCCTCCATCGCCCCAACCTGCAGCCGCGGCCCCTCTACAACGGCATTTCCTTCTTGGGACAGCTCTATTTGCGGAAAGGGAGCGACACTGACCTAGCCTTGGGGCTGGTCCAGACCTACTTGAGCCTCTTCGACCGGGCCTTGAAGACGGGCGGGGAGCTGAGCGAGAAGATGCTCTCGGCGCTCTTAAGCGGAGTGCACCGAGCCACCCCCTACCTGGACGCGGGCGGGCTGGCGGAGGGGCCCCTGGGGGCGCATTTGGAGGACATCTTCCGGACCGTGCACCAGGCCAGCTTCAAGACGGCGGTACAGGCACTCATGCTCCTGGCGCAGGTGGCGACGGGCACCGGGAGGAGGAGCGAGGGACGCCTGGAGGGACGCTTCTACCGTGGCCTCTATGAGAAAGTCCGCGACCCCGCTTTCCTCATCACCGCCCACCCCACGCTCTTCCTCAACCTGCTCTACAAGGCCATGAAGGCGGACCGGGACCAGGCCCGGGTGGCGGCCTTCGCCAAGCGCCTCCTCAGCCACGGTGCTCTGCAGGGACCTCCTGCCCTGGCCGCCGGCGTCCTCTTTCTGCTCTCCGAGGTGGGGGCATCCCAGCCCGTCCTTAGAGAGGCGCTCGTCCGGCGGGCGTCGACGCAGGAGGGAGAGGAGGACTCCTTTGATCCAGGGAAGCGCGAGCCCTCCTTTGCGTTTGGCGGCGGAGAGGGTGGGAGGGTGGATGAGGAGGGAGATGAGGGCGAGGAGGGGGGGGCGGCGAAAGAGGTTACGTCGAACGGGTCCGGGCTGTCCAAAAAGAGCCAACCTCATCTCTGGGAGGTAGGGCTGCTCGCGCTGCATTTCCACCCCTCTGTGCAGCGGTTCGCCGCCTCTGTGCTGGATCCCAGGGCGAGACACCGCGTCACGTACTCGGGGGACCCTCTCCAAGACTTCTCGACCATGGCCTTCCTGGACCGATTTGCCTTTAAGAACCCCAAACTTCGGGGGAGGACGGCGGCGGCCATGGAGGGGGAGGCTTTGACGGAGGCGGAGAGGGAGGATCGACTCAGTCGGTTCGGAGCCGGGACAAGACGCGCCGCGGGTGTGCGGGGGGGGCGGGAGAGCGGGCCGCCGGCGGTGAATAGCGCCGAGTTCCTGTCGTTGGAGCCTCATGAGCTGTCGCCGGACCAGCTATTCTTTCACAAGTTCTTTCGGGAGAAGGCAGCGAGGGATAAGCAGGCCCGCGCGGCGGGGAAAGGGAGGGAGTTGGGCTCGGACGAGGACGCTGGGTCTGGAAGTGAGGAGGAGGAGGACGAGGAGGAAGACGAGGATAGCGAAGGAAAAGATGGAAGAGGAGGTTCGGATGGCAGTGGGGGCAGTGACGCTGAGGAACGCGAGATCGATGCTTTCGCGGATGGCTTGGCGCAGTCACTGATGAGAAGCCAGGGGAAAGTTGATTTCTCAGACGAGGATCCAGACACGGAGGCCTGGGAGGACGAGGGGCGCGCGGACGGTGCGGAAGGAGATGAGGGGCAGGAGGCAGGATGGTTGCGCAATGATGGGGAAACTGGAGATTTGTTGGCGGCAGAGAGGGGGGACGATGACACCTTCTTAGATGATGTCTCCGACGACAGCGATGCGTCCGAGGGTCCTATGGGGCTAGAGGAGAAAATGGAGGAGGACAGCGACGGCGACGATGGTGTGGCGCGTCGCGAAAGCGACGACGACGGAGATGAGGAGGAGGAGGTGGACCAGTTGCCTTTGTGGGCCCTGGTGGACGAGTCCGAGGATGATGGTGGGGATGGGCCGGAGGGGCAAAGCCTGAGAGAGGAGGATGTCGGGGGGGAGATCGAGACGGTCCCGACGGGTAGAAAACGTCCGCGCGAAAGGCGGGGAGGAGCGCGGCCAGAGCAGGAGAAGGCAGGGAGGACGCGGGACAGAGACGGGAGGAGGAAGCCGGGTGAGAGAGTCAAGCTGGTGGAAGGTCGGAATGGGCCGATGGCAACGTCTGACATGCCCACTTTCGCGGCTTACGATGAGTACGCGATGTTGATCGAAGCGGACGAGAGGAAACGCGAGGCTGAGGCTCGGCGTGAAACGCCCGAAATCAAAGGCTAGCGCGACAGTGGCGTGGGACTTCTCTAATATGAGGCCGTGCGTAGAGGAGAGCTAAGAAATCCTCTGTGGAGGCCAAACGTAAGACAAGGAGAGAAAGAGAAAGTGTATAACAAAGAAGAAACTGCAGGCGTTAGTGGAGCTGGATTCTTAGCTTTACTTAATATAGTAAATTTGATCCCGTGTGGTATTTGATGAAGATTGTACACCACACACACACCAATCATAGACGGTAAAATTTACGGATCGGAAAACAGCAGCCGTTTCGAAGTATTCTCGCCCTGCCTTCACTTCTCGTCATTTCGCCACGTGGCAATTTACTCCTAAGAAGCCTGGTCTTCTATGCGTTTATTTATCATGCGAGAAAAAGCCACATCTCTTCAAATCTTTCAACCCCACAGTAGAATCGCCGGATCTCGAATTGCACTGAATGTTGATATCCAAGTTCTCAATCGTGTGGATCCACCATGCCGGCACATTCAAGACCTCTCCCGGCGTAAGCAAGACCTCGTTGGCCACCAAATTTACAAAGTCCGGATATTTCTGGAGGTCGGGCGCGCTCCAATCGACTTCTGTATGCCGTGCTGATGGATGACCCGTGGGAAGAAGGTAGGCGTGCTTGCACTCCCTTGGATGGGCCAAGATCCACCGACGGGTGCCCGAGACAAGACTGACCATGTTGCGACTCGCGTCAAAATGAGCCTCGGCAATGACGCTGCGCATGCCGAATCGACAGTGAATGCCTCGCGACATCTCGGGCTCTTTCATGAAAAGCGTGGACTCCCTGCTGGTGAAGATGGTCAAGTCTTGGCGGACAATTGGGCTATCGCGGTCGGAGACTCGGAAGTAGTAGTGTTCCGAGTCCGTGGAGAGGTTTTTGGACTTGCGCGCCTCGTGCAACCAGTGATCGTAGGACCACCTTTCCGTTCGTGTCGGAGGGATATAGCCGGCGGGTTTGAGGCTCTTGCTCAGGCGGTAGTACATGAAGTGGTTGTCTTTCGACACCTGCGTGGTATACTCCCCGCCCTCCAGAGCCTCTGCCAGGTAGCCCTCCGAGTTCCACTTTTCAACTGTCTCATCGAACTCGGGAATGTTGTACACAACAAAGGGCATTTCGGCGTCGCGATACCGGAGGGCTTTGTCGTACTCAGTTTGGTAGTCGAAGCGACAGAGCGTGTTGTAGTGCCGGGGGGGGATCGCGGTGTCGTCCATATTCCAGTTGCCCAGAATGTCCATGATAGGGACCCCCGGAGGGCTCTCAGGCTCGTCAGGGCAATGAGGGAGCTGAAAGAATCTAGAGCCCGTCCGCTCGTAGACGCGGGCTTCCTGAGCCCGCAGGGTCGTGTCAATTTCAAGCTGGGATCGGCCTAGCGTGCTCGCCAAGCGCAGTCGCTCGGTGGGCTCCTTTAGGTATTTCTCAGCCGCCACTTGCATAGCCTGAGTCGCCCTTTCCTGTTTCTGTTCGGTGTCCCCTTGAAAAACCGTTTCGCCGGTGCGGGCTTTGCTGTAGAGCTCAGACTGGGCGGTCATGCGTGCCGTCTCCTCCGAGTTCATGGACACTCCGAAGTGCCCCGGGACAAGCACGCGCAACACGTCCTCAACTAACGTCTCGTATGCTACCGCATGCCCCTTTGATCCCGGCAATTCCATTTGCTCAAGCGCTGCTTGACAGAGCATCGTTAGATGGGCAGCGCAATACTCCTCATCCGACACCCTGCTCGCTCCCCTCCGGTCGGTTTCTAGTATGTCCTGCACAGCTTTCGGCGCGTTCTTCTTGGCTCTAATGCACGGGCCACCCCTTCCTCGCTGAAAGTTGGAGACGATGATTTCCACCGGGTCTCGGTAAATGTACGCCCATGGGGTCTCTGGGAAAGCCTTCAGGATCAAGTCCATGTCAACCACCGTGCTGGAGGAAAACTTGATAAAAAAATGATCGTGATGATGAGAGCGGCCCATGGCCAGGATAGCCATTCGAAGCAGCCGCACGGTTGTCTCCTCACTGCACCCAGCATTTTTGCAGAGGTGAATGACATGGGCGGGAACGGAAGGCTCCGAATAGACCAGATTGGTGGGAACGGAGGCGAGCATGTTGGCAACCAAAGTGGAGCCGACCCTGCTTTCATGGAAGATAAAGCCTGTGGGTTGTAGCTGCTTCCCTGCCCTCTCGTCAACTGCATGAACGGAAGCTAGTTTATGCTTCAATCGATTTTTGGAGCAAAAAGCTCCCACTAAATCTCTAGACATTGGGAATTGCTCAGGGTTGCGATGGTAGGGGCTGATGTCAAACTGACAAAGGGCCATGTCCAGGTCGTGGTCCCCCTGCAACTCCACACCCATAGCATACATAATGGGCATAACCAAGTCTTCATCCTTCAGGTCGGAGGGGTTTAAATGCAGTCGGCGCACTACCGGCTGCTCCCACTTGTCCTCGATGTTTTTGGCTGCCCAGTCAATGCCCGCGAGCTCGGGCGCGGCCTTACTTTCATTCTCGGCGAGCAATACCACGGGCGTATTCTCTTCTTCAATCGCAAGGCTTCGTATTAAAATGCGGTTCAAGCTTTGGCCGCGGATCAGTCCGATGGAGAAGCGGATAATATTAACTACAAAAAGACTTGCGCATAGCAGGACCCTGTTGTGTGGATTGCAGAGAATGCCGGAGGGAAAAACAAGTGTGCGTGAGCGCAAAAATGTCAGACACCAAGACAAAAAATTACAAAAAAGCCCTTTGAAAGGCATTAGACAGCAGCAGCGTGTATAATACACTTACACGAAAATTCCAACGAGGACCTTCTTGCCCCGACGTGATGCCCAATGCGCTCGCACAGAGTTTGATATGCCGGTTCTACGCGTATATCCCCATGCAGCAGCGATACGGGACCTAGGTGTCTTGTCCTTATAGCCTTCGCCGGTTATCATGGCGGTTTAGAGGACTAAGTCAACACTTTGAGGGACTTGCTTTCAATATCGGACTCAGAACCTGGAGGCCGTGTGGTATTAAATGGGTGGATAGTACGGGATAAGATTAGAATATCTCATATTTCGACCCAAAATGCAATAATGAGATAGAAACTGAGGAGAAATTCATGCGCCATGTGTTTATGATCTGCCCTAGGCCGTGGTCTTGAGCAGGGATGGGCCGGATGAGGATGAAAGAGGTTTGTGAAGAAGAAAGTTGAAACGAGAAGTACCCCTTCAGTGAGAAATCTTCAAGAGGAGAGTGCCACAGATTGGCCCAAACGGCTGTTTTTGTGTGGAAGGTAAAGCGCCGGCGTGGCCTCGGGTGCATGCCTCCAGGCTTGAGACTTGAGGTGCTACATGGCTGTAACGGCTCTGTGAACGTTTCCGAGCTTCGGGGAATGCTCCTGCTTGTGATGGAATGAGGCCCCACTCGGACTTTCCGAAACGCCACAGCAATGGTCCTTTTTATCGGCCCGAAACAAACATAAATCATGGACCAACAGGATCTTTTCTAGGTCACTGTGGTGCAGCGACGTCTGTATTAACACTGGTTTCGCCCGCCCATATTTCGTTCCTCTAAAGAAGAACATCCAAGATAAAGCAGCACTGCTGGAGCTTCAAACTCAGATCCCATGACAAGGGCGAACAATGTACTTCATGAGGCGGATAACCTTGCAAACTACCTACACATGGAGGAAGATGCAGAGAATCGTAATCCAACCGCGATGTCTCCGGGGAAGCGGAGCAACAAGTCCCGGGAACGGAAGACGCGGAGTCCCACTCTGGCCTCCATCCTAGGTGCTACCACGCCTTCCCCCAATCGCCGCCTTTTGTTCGATCGCGATGCTTCACGCGCACCCCTTCAGTGTCTGGATGACCTTGCGAACCATGAGAAAATGTTTAAATCAAACCAGGTCGGCAACAAAGCTGGCTCCTTCGAGACGACTCCTGACAAACGCTGGAGCGCCACCTCCATTTTTCAATCCCCATGTGCCAGTAAGAAAGTCGAGAGGACCACCAACTTTGATGACGTGAGAAAAAGAAGTGGCAAGGCGGCCAATCGGCATGAGAGTAATTGCGAGCTCCCCACGCCGGACAGTGAGAATGCGAGACGTGGCCTTGTCGGCGAGGAGACCAGCCCTTTCTTCTACCTGAGTACCGACTCGAGCGAGGACGACAACGAGGACGCAGTGGAGGGTGCTATTTTCTTGGAGGAAGCGAGTGTGGACGAAAGGGATGATCTCGCGCCACGTCGACGGGCCACCGATGCGCAGAAAGAAAGCGAAAGAGCTGTCTCCGTACCTCCGACCGCGACTCCTGAGTCCTCCTCCCTCTCATCGTCTCCGCGCCCAGACACCTCGAAGTCCACGGGCGAAGCGACATTAAGAACCAAAGCCTTGCCGGTAGCAGACCATGCGCCCGCCTCTTGCGACCATGCTGTGGTTTCGTCTCCATCGCCTGTGCAGCCCCGGATTCCGCCCTCTCTGTCGCCTAAAATTCCACGCTCAATTTATTCTTCAACCCTCTCAGAGACTCAAACAGTACGCACTCTGCTGGCACGCGCTCGAGCTGTTGAAACTCCGGACGAGATAAAAGATGGACGAATCAAGTCCTGGTTTTCGGACCGCATGCTATCGGCCGTCAAAAAATTCGTCTTCCAAGACACGCAGCCTGTGCCGGGAAGGAGCCTACCCCATGAGGATGAGAACGAAATTTGCTCGCATTCAACTAAAATGGAGTGTACTGCATCTTTCCTACCGTCGCGTCCAACAACTGCCGATGCGGTGGAGGGGACGCTTTCAGGAGGTGCCTCACGCACAGGGCTTCAGCCCGCCGCCTTGATCGCTGCAGACCCGGATGTCTCGGGTCACACAACTCGTCGGATGCTCGCCCGGCGTCTAGCTTCGTCCACCGTGCCTGCACCAGCCGCTTTGGCCTCGCTGGCGGGTGGAGAGACCCGGCAGAGTCAGCGGAGCGAGCTTGGAAAGGGACGTGGGCGATGGGAGGAGCAGCATCAGCAGTATCAGGAGGGGCCGACGCCCTCTGAGATGCTTGCTTCTGACGTCGGCCTCCTGGGGTCGGATGATAAATGTACTGGTCGGGATTTTTCTTCCTCGGCTCTCCCTCGGACTCCCTGCGCCGCACAGATTCGCACGCCATCCGACTTGTCGGCAGAACTCTCGCCCGTGGCAGCAGCGGCGGCAGCAGCTGCAATAGCGGCAGCAGCAGCACGAGTAGCGGCGAAAAACGCGGAGGAAGCGACCGCAGCTGCCATCGCGATGTCCTCTTCGTCCACGTCTTCAGCGACTCGCCTGTCACCCTTGCCCGATGCCTCTGTGACTGCATCTTCCGCGACCTGCGCGCCTCCCACATCAGCACTTACCGTCACCCAGCAACGCCACGAGAACTCGGCCCCGGCCTGTATTTTGAATCCTCGTGGCTGGGGAGCCGATGCTTCCTGTTCGCGGCATCGGCCCGAGCTACGGGGAGGGCAGGGGACGGATGCGGAGGGAGGAGACTCATCGGTCGTCAGAGAGGCATTGGGGGCCATGTCGAAGGGCGAGACGAAGGAATGTGTCGGTGGGCAGGCAAAGGTCGTCGCTCCATCGCCGAACCTGAAATCAGTTCTGGACGTGCTGGCCGTGGCCTCATCCCAGACTAGCGCCTCTTCAAGTCCCGTCTTCCTCTTGAAGGAGTCGCCGTCCTCGGAGGAAGAGCGTAGGGCACCCTTATCCTGCAGCTTTTTAGAGGGCAGCAGTAAAGAGCAGCATGCAGGATGCTCAGCCCCTTTGGCCGCCCCTCCCCTTCCGGAGCTGCCCAACCTCTACTCACCGCTACAATGCCGGCGTAGAGCCACCGGGGAGCATCGAGACGTCGGGGCCAGCTTGTCCGAGCTAGGAAGAGCCGCTTCGAGAAAGAGTTGCCCAGAAAATGGACGCACGTGTGCTCTGGCACCTCGCTCTGGCTCGACTTTGTCACTTCGCCAGATGGAGC